AATTAGTGTGGGTAAGTGTTTGCAACTCAATAGCTGTAAAATTATGATAGATACATTAATATTACTATATTGGCTTTCTAGAACATCCTGCAGAGGTTTGGTGGGTTTTGGTTTTTGGTGGTTTGATGGGTTTTTGTTTGAGGTTTTTTTGTTTGTTGGTTTGAGTGAGGTTGTCAGTTTTTTTGGTGGATTTGTTTTGGTTTGATTTTTTGTTTGTTTGTTTTTTGGTTTTGCTTACATTCACAACCCAGTTCTGGGTCAGGGTATGAATTTTCCTGATGTATTTCTTGTGCCTTTTTGTCTGCTGGAACTTTAGGCATTATCCTCAATAGTAAATTTATTTAAATAAGGTCATCAAAACCCCACTAATATTTGTGTAGTTTTCTGAAGAAATATTATATTGTTTTCCTTGATCTCTTTTTAGAACTTGAAAATGAAAATATTTAGTTACACTGGATTAGTTTACATACCCTAATTTTTTATTATATATATATAGAATATCATCATGGACTGATCTAACTGAACTCTGAAAAGAGAAGAATTGCTGATATTCTCACTTTGCAGACTGACCCATTTTTTACTGATATTTGAAGAGTTAAGGGCCACTTAGTTAACATATTTTTTCTACTTGGAGTGTCAAAATGTAGACAATTGCATCTTTACTTGACTTTTGCATTAAGTTCTGAGTTTTGGAAAAGTGCTGAGCATTTTCAGTTTCTTCTGAGTGCTGGCAAGTGCCTACAGAATTGCCTGCTGTCTTCCTAAGACACTGATAAGGACAATAAGGAGAGCATCAGCAGCATTCCTTTTTTATTCTATCATATATAACACGCTTGTCAAACGAAATACAGTAAGGTGAGGTAAGACTGCACTGAGCGAGCAAGTTTCCAAGCAGGAGGCAGTACCCCGGCTGCTCTGTGACTGAAGCAGTTACACTGTCTCTAGGACCTGAGCCAGCAGTTCTCTGTGGTTCTGCTTGTGCTGTGCTGTGAGGAGCCAGCGTGGGGTTCTGAAACCACCCCTGCACTCACAGCCCACGGACAACATTTGCAAATTATTCGTGGGCTGCTGGTTCATTGTTCTGTCTCTCTGCCAAACCAAGGCCCCCTGAGGCCCCAGGCAGGATGAGAGTACCTTTATCAGGTGCCATATGAGCAGGGAGACAGGAGTTTGGTACCCCCTGCCTCGCAGCGGTCTGCGTTTGTCTCTGGCCAGGCGCAGGCACATAATGGCACAGTTCATGTTCCGGATGGAGGCGGTGAGAGAGCATGCTGAGAAAAATAATTGAAAACGAAGCTGCATTTAAAAGTAATCAAATTACTCCTTGGGATTAAATTTTTAGAGCCAAATTTTAGCCCTCCTTATTCTACAGGAATGCCTTGCCAGGACTGCATAGCTTGGCCCCGCTCCATGCCTGGGGAGAGTTTACGACTTTTCTGAGTAAACAGAACATAAGAAGCCAGATTCTCATTGCTTTTATGCTTAAGTAAATGCGCCACTTTTTCAATTGAGTTCTCCCTGATTTATACGTATGTCCACGAAAGAAAACAGAAAGAGAATGGCTCCACAGCTGCTAAACCCTTACTGCTGTTCCTGTCTCTGCTCCCAGAGAGCTTAGGGAAGGCACTGGTAATGAAAGATAAGAGGGCATGATTACTTGGAGTCTGATTACTTCTTCAGTGATCCTGGACCAGCTCTGTCAGCTACAAAGTGGCCATTAGGATGAAGAGTGTAATTCCACTGTGACATCTAAGAAATGTAAAATTCCATTGTTCAAGGACTCCACCTTTAAGAGCTCTGGGAGATTTATCCTAGACTATTTGTCTTACTGCCTTTTGACATCTTATCAATGTTACTGAAACACAAGAGTAGAAGGAAGCTTTATTGTTCCTGTAAAGGAGAAGCAAAAAGAGGATGTTCAGAGGCCATGTCTTGTTTCCCGTCTTCCAGACCACTGCAATTCCTAAGAGTCTAGTCATGGAGCTGCCAGGTTTTGTTATTCAGAAAAATTAAGTCTGTCGCTGAGTTGCACTGCCTAGGAGAAAAATCAAAAAGAAACAAAATTCTGCAGTTACCAAACATGAATATGATTTTTTTGGTGCTTATGTCTCTAACAGGCCTGGACTGTGCCTGGACTCTTTCCTCTCTCCCTGGGATGTGCACACATCTGCAACATGCACAGGTGTGTGGGAGTGGGGCCTTCCTCCTTTGAGTGAGGGAACCTGATTTCCAGCTAACATCCCTGACACTTGCATGAGGAAGCACCTTGATTGTACTCCGTGCACCATAAGCACCCTGGCTACAGTTTCTGAGCAAGAGCTAATAACATGGTATAGGCTATTGCAATGAGATGTCTCAATGTGGAAGCTTAGGTGTCTTACACAGTCTTGGGGAGCTGCTCTTAGAGAAAATGTGCTTTATATGTATATATATACACATACATGTATAGGTGTATTTCTGTGAATATTTAAGCTAAATTCAAATTAGGAGTTTGAGTTAAACAAAGAGAAAGAAAACTGTTGGGGACAGTATATATATGTATACACATATATATATGTACATATATATATGTACATATACGCTATAACTAACTGTGGCAAATACTGTTGCACTGAGGTGTTGCATTATAACATATGTGTCTGTCTTGCCCATTTCTTACGCTGAGCCCATCAGCATGTTATTTGAAGATTTTTGTGTCATATATCCTACGCTGTGCTCTGACAGTATCTAAGGTCTACAGAGTGAGTTAAGAGTGGACTGACGCTTCGAAGACTGTCCCTTGCTGTTAGTTTAGCACGTTTTCATGTGAAAAATATCTTCAGATGGCTGTTTCTTTCTTAAATAACAGACCTGTCTCCACTGCAAGTGACAGCTCCATCCCTTCCACTTCAGAAAACAGGGTATCATTAAAATGTTGACATTCAACAAACATTTGTTAAATTTATCATAGTATTTATCATAGTATATTTCACAAAGAAAACAATAAATTAATATACCAAGATGTGGTATATGTCAAGATTTTAATGGAACCCACACTGTCGAAGATCTCAGAACCAACCATTTACTCAAGAAAAATGTCCTCGCTTCTTTACTATTCTGGTCCTTGAAAATTAGTAGACAGGTCTTACTAAAATTAGATTTGTAGTGCCCCAAGGTGAGAGTCATCACATCTGTGGTCTCATTAGAAGACTTTTCTTCCTCCACAAATGCATCCATCAAAAGTAGTATGAAAGAATTCATGTAATGAAATTGGACGTGCTGGCCTATTAGGGAACTTGGTTCAATATTCACTGAAATCAATGGAATTATTTAATTGAGACCTTCTGTTCATTTTTGGTTTTGCAACCCAGGTTCATAAGTGACAAGGCTAAACTGTTTTTTCAAGTCGTTTCCAGAACACAAAAGAACTTTGAAGTAATAACATGTCACTTTCAGATTGCACTAAATCCATGGGTGATTTATGACTAAATGTAAGCATTTAGGGGCATAAAGATATCAAAATTGCTCAGTTAGATCAGATCCATTCAGACTCAGAAAATGGCCACATGAATGAAAAGACATTATAGGAAATCATGTACTAGAAGAGTGTAACCATAGAGTAATTTTCTTCCTGTCTTCTTGTTGTATTCAAAGAGCTCTTTACTTGAAGTATACTTGTTTATTTCCTCCTATGTTGTGTTAGTCTTCTAATATAACCGTGAAAGGTCTTATTGTCCACAAAAGAATAAAATACCTGGTACCAAATCCTGGCTTTTTCCCAAAAAGCAAATACAAAGCCGATACAGGGCTCAGCCTTTCTCTCATTAGTCTGATGGCAAAATTCCCATTATGTCTCCTACCATTGGAAGAACTTTTTCTATTGAAACTTAATTCACAAAATATGTCACAGAGTCAACCAAAAGGATTTTTGAAACCCTTATTTAATTTCTAAAATTATATCAGGCAGAAATCAGGAAAATCTATTAAAGTATGGAAAATTAAAAAAACTCCATGGTTTTTATTGTCTTTTAAAAAATTGCCTTCCTATATCTTCATTAACTTATTTTTTACACTGTTAAAAATAATCAAAAGTCTACTTCATTATGACCTAACTGAAGTATGTTCACTAGAAGACAAATCTCTAACACTTTCTTTTCTTTTGCATTGAGATCGTATTTCTGGTCAATCCAAGTTTTCTTTTATACCAGCTTTTTGTTTTGGCTAATAAAGGAAAAATAGCACCCATCCAAGTGTGCCTTTCGTCTTTAGCTGTAAAGGACTGAGATTAAGACTGCAACATCCAAAACGCCAAAAATGCTATCACTGATCTCTAATTAAGTAGTCCCTTATCAAAGGACATCCATACACAGACAAAAGAAAAACCCATCATTTAAAGGGTCAGTAGTTATTAAATATATATGAGAAGATAACAGTAAGGCTATGTTCTCTTAGCATGCATCATATCCCACGGTAATTTTTTACTTATAAAACATTGAACTGATTGCATACTGTTTTGCTCTGTATCACTCACAAGGACTACTCTTGGGTAATGAAGTATAATTAAGAGGAATTGCATCTATCTCTTCATTCAAAGCCAATGATTTCCTTTCCCATTAGTTACACTCTGGAAATACAATGCTTTACAGAAGAAATCTTTACCATTGATTTAATTGACTCAGCTGTCTTCAAATTTTAGAACTTGGTACCAATGGCTATATTGTTTTGGTGCTTCTGCTTAGTTCAGACGTTAAACAAATATAAACAATATTCCTTACCACTCATCAGGACAGATTATTAGACACAAGGTAAAGCAGCCATTCCTGACTTTGAAGAACAAAAGGTATGTGTAGGTTTTTTCTTTTCTTTTTTTTTTTTTGGTTTGGTTTGGTTTGGTTTTTTTTTTCCCCTCCCGGGAAGTTTATTTGAATTTGAAATTGCCAAATCAGGTAATTTTCTTTACATTTCTTTTTTCTTTCTTACATTTAACTACTATGCTTTAGAAGATAATGAAATACTAGCAGGAGCTGTGGATATGTAACACCTAAGTGCCTGTTTTCTAACTACCGAAAATCTGCACTACTGGTCTGTGATGTTGAGGTGAAGAGTATAGAAACTGAAGGAAGGTTGGTGCCCCCTCAGAACTGTAGCACCTTACACAGATGTGCTATTCCTTATGGCTGACTACTGACATCTCACTAAGGGTAATAGTGGCATCCTTTAGATCTCACTGGAAATTCACAGTCATTTACTGAGAAATTCTGAAGCCCAGTAATGATATATAGATGAGACTCAATATAGACATGCTAACAAGAGAATAACTTAAATTTTTTAGAATATGAGCTTATGAAATTGGACATGCTGTGATTTCATAAAATCATAGAACAGCTTGGGTTGGAAGGGATCTTAAAGATAATCTAGTTCCAACCCCCTTGCCATGGGCAGGGACAACTTTCCCTAGACCAGGTCTAGTCTTCCATTTATATTTAACAATCCTTTATCTTGGTCTTTGATTTTGGAAGTACCTTTGAGTGAAAGAGTTAATTCAGCTACTCTCAAAAACTAATATGGAGAAAATAAGTGACTGTCACTAAAATAACTCAATTACTGAACAGCATTGGTTCAGTTTCTTCCAAATTTTTTACCAACAGTTATTTGCAATGCATTTCATCAGCAATACTGATGCCTGCCTACAAGAAAGCACAAAAGGGATCACAGAGACTAAGAAAACTGTTCTGAATTAGAAGGTGCTCTAGTTTACAAACGGGTGAAATCAGAGAGATTGTTATACGAGTGCTTTCTGGACTACTGCTGGCTTTTGACAATGGGATTAAAGCAAGTCATCTACTTTCTTAAATGAATGGATTAGGTTCATGAGATAATTCATTCTTTTCTCTTTCCAGAGTATCATCTAGTCTGAAATCACCATGTCCTTGCTCCATCTCTGCTCTGATCAACAGAGTGAGGCCAGGTTAGTGATAGAGAAGAGGTGGCATTAAGGGTGCAATTGTCCCACTCTCTGTCCACACACAGTTGTCCAAAGAGAGGTTTCTTCCCATGGAAGGCTGTGTTTTTGCACCACACCATGCTCAGGCTTCAGGAAAGTGCCTTCTTTGTGTCTGGAAGTAAGTCCTGATTGTGTCCTTCGTCTGGGGTAAATGGAGGGCTTCACAAAAAAATTAGGTTCAAAGGCTTCCATAATTTTCACTGTGCCAAACCACAGGCTAAACAGCATTTGATCAGTGGGAGTAATAGGGTAAATCTGCCTTTTTAATGCTTTTAGCTTCATAGAATAAACCAAGACTACTGCAAACCTCAGGCCTCTGGTGTCCTGCTAATCAGCAGTGCCACCACTGTGTTAATGGTCACCAAATGTCAAGAATCATTTTCACCTTGGAAAAAGCCTGGAACAAGAGAATAATGACTAAATAAATCTTGAATCTTAGGGATAAATATGTAATTTATGATACACCACGGAAGGAAGGTTACCTGTGTAGCACTTCCTCGGTATGTGTATACATGCATAGAGAGGAGAATCCTTTCTCCTTCAGTCATGGTGCACATTTGTATATATTAAAGACAGGGAACAGATGACTGTTTAATACAGCAAAGAACTATAAAAGCATTTAATATATAAATATATAAAAGTAATGTAAAAAGTTTTTTAATGAAGTATTGCAAACTAGCTTCTGAAGAGTCTTGTGGTATTTTAAATACCTACCAATGGAAGAGATTACTTTTAAATATTTTATTTTAGAGTTCATAGGAGACCTCAGACAGTTTGTTATTCATTTCAACCTAATTCAAGCAATAACAAGCTTACTGGATAAGGTGTCTCCTTTCTGAAATGCTTTGACTCTCTAATGTTCATTATTAATTGTTTTAATATATAATTCATTGCAATTTGTAGTACATGTCTGAACATTCTTTAGGAAATCAGGCTAATAGTGTCTCCGGACATTAAAAATGCTCTGGACAATGCATTTTATTACTTCTCTGTTATCGTCTGGTTTGAAAATACAAATTCAAGGAACTCTTAAAAAGGAGAGATCATTAAAAGGGCAAAAATATCCAAGTGGCAAAACAATAACATTCTTCAGCTGCTAATAATCTCCGAACTGCTAGAAATGCTTCCTGCAGTCTGCATTTTAGAAACAAAGGCTAATGATGTTTTGTATCCTCGGGATCCTCAATGGTGTCATTAGTACAAACTCATCTCAGGAAAAATTCTCTGTGTAGCTGAAGGAGCAGTTTGGGACCTGGCTTTTGCAGTATCCCCCCACCCTGTGCAGTGTGGGTACTCACTGGGAGCAGCAAGTTGGACACCCCAGTACAAGTACTGAGGGATGGAGCACAGGGCAAGCGTCACAGTAGTGACAAGCCTTACCCTGGCATGTGGCACAGCCTGCTTCATGGCACACCAACCCCCGTGGCAGTAGGTGGGAAGAGTCAAAGTCAGTCTTGTAGCTTAAGTATGCCCACTATTTTACACTGCCAGAGAGGCAGCCTTCTAGATGCAGGTACTGATAATGCTGGCTAGATTTATCTACTGCATTAAGTAAAGAGCAGCAAATCATCCCAGAGCCATTTTCTGTCCCATTCTGTCCTGTTTGTTCGTACAGTGTCACCTCCTGAAGCTACACAAAGGCCTTACTAGGTGCATCGGGGTTGACTGGGAAACAAGGTCTGTAGATGAACCATTTTACCTATGAAATTTCTTCCTAATTGTGGCAAATCAGAAAAGCACTTGATTTTGTTAACCATAGTGCCTTCTTGTGTCCAGGAACTCTGTTTTTTATTATGTCTTAACAAATCCTAGGGCAGCACAATGATGGTTCAGCACTTGAGCTCTCACAAGCTACAGTGACAGAAGTAGAAATAAATAATAAATGTAGCAGGGCTCACAACTCCCAAAATATTGATGTTTGCTGATTTTGGAAGCCACCAAAAACCCCAATATCTCACATTTCAAGCACAATAAAATATGTAAATTTTGTAAAACTTAGGGAGATGTAAAGTCCCTTTTCGACCTTTGTCCTTCTGGCACTGCTGAATTTAGTAAGCCTAATCTTGAGGCATCTGACTGGCTTAACCCTATCCTGTTTTATTTTTTTTAACACCATTGATTTACATGATAGTTCGCCTTAGACAGGGCAGTCAGCCTTTGATATTTGATCCCCATGGGACTGTTGATTAATAGAGGCTGAGAGGAAAAGTTATAACTGCAGAAAATGAGAGCAAATGAGTGTCCTTTGTAAATGAGAGTCCTGGGATCAACAATGATTTCAAATTACATTTTTGTGTATATGTGTAGTCAGTGCTTTAGCATGTCAATAGCTTTTAGTGTACTTTAGGAAAAATGCTCTGAACATTAATAATCTGTAGAGCTGAGCTACCTTAGTTCAGATAATTGTATAAAAATAGCACCATCACTGTGTTAGAAATGAAACAAGAAAAAAATTCAACCTGCAAAAAAAGGCATCATAAAAGCAGGAGACTAAAGAAACAAAAGTCCTAGATATTATAGCTGAGAACTGTGCAGTTTCCTCCTGAAGGCACAATAGGAAAAAAATAATTCCTTTACAAAGCAAGATCCAAATTTGGGGCATCAAAGAAATATGAGAAGTAAGCTGTAGGCCTGTAGGCTTGACACTGGGCTGGACAGCTGACCTCATTGCTTTGGGCTGTTTGGGAGCAAACAGAAGTTTCTGCATTTTCTATATTCCAATTTTGAAAGGGTGACTGTGTGGTCTAATAGCCCTGGCTACACAAAGCATCTGACACTTTTACATATGACCACACATGACCTTTCCTAATGTGGAAAAAAACTATGAATCCACCCATTCCCACTGAAAACTAACAATCAGTCGTGTTACATGCATGTAATAAAACCTCCACTAAAATTTGTTGATCAGTGTTTGGGACACATACAATCACATTTTTTAAAAATGTCTTTGGAAAGTGTAATTGCAGTATTCTCAGATTTTGTTGGTGACCTTCACTGAATTGATTGTAATTTGGAAATACTGTGAAATCCATAAAAGCTACATTTTGTAACCAGCCAAATGTTGAATGTGGGTTATGATTTTCAAGGAATGTGAATAGCTTAATATTTTTATTTTATTTTACCTGTGATTAGTTGTACATGGAATATTAAAGTTGGCTTTATACAGTCATATAGCTAGGGGTATTTAAATCAGACCATAGATCTCTCTTCTAAGTACAAATCAGAAGGGCAGAAACTTAACAGTTATGAAACATATGGTTAATAGGCCTATATTTTTAATTTATAGCTCTATGATTACATTTTATTTTTCGGTTTGTAGTTATTGGGAAATGAATCTTCAGATGGTCCTTAATTATTTTGATTTTAGCTAATGAGATATGTTGCTGCAGTCCAAACTCTAGGTGCATAATAAACAAAAGCTAATAGAAGGAAATACTGTCATTCTTTCATTCTTGTTTTCTTACTGAATGTTATTTAGAAATTATTTTTTTTTAACTTTCTAACTGCTGAAAGGTTAGTTTGGTTGGTTTTTTTAATGATTGTTCTACATCTCTAAATTTCATTGCTGTGCTCTGTGTTGGATTTTTGAGAGACCTCAGCTCTTATTTCCATCAGAGCAATTGGTATAATTTGGGGACAAAAAAAAAAAAAAAAAGGTGAAATAGCTCAGTGTAGTAAGAAAAGACTGATCAGGTGCAAGCAGCCGTTGAAGCCAGTGGGAGCCAGAGTGCTCACACAGCCCCTCAGCACCTGTATGGTGTTTCCCCTCACTATCCAGTAAAGCAGGGAAACAGGTCCATCTCATTTTTCAGACTGGGAGCTGAGGGAAGGAGAGGTTGTGCTTCAGGTTGAGCACCCATCCTGAATTACACAGTAGGAGCAGCCCCTTTTCCGTTAAATAAGCTATGTGCTGGATCTGCAGTGGCCCTGGGACAAGGTGGGATGGAGTGCTACCATGGCAGACTCTAGGAGGAAGATGCAATACATCAGTGCAGCCAGGGTCACCTCCAGTGCCACCACTGTGACTGGGGAACAGGGTATGGGACCATGAGAGAAAGATGATTTGGAGGAGAGCAGGGATGATCAGTGTTCCACTCCTGCTCCCAGGAAATGCCCACTCTGCAGATAAACTAAGTATCTTGCCCACTCTGCAGGTGAAGGCTTACAGAAACATAAGGTGACATAATACTATTTAACTTCCCACCACTAGTACTCCTTGTCCCCGAGCACTCTACTTCTATGTGCATGAACCCTTTCCTTAATGCCCCAGGACCTTCTGAATCCTTCAGCAGATACAGGGCAGACGCATGATTTTGTTTGTCTAAATGGCAACCATCTACCAGAGTGAGACCTTCAAGTTTTTGGTAACTGGCTCATTTGCTCTTGCACCTGACTTTTACAGGAGTCATCACACTCCCTCTGGGTTGCAAGCATGGGTAGTTCTCATCCAGGCAGGTAATATGAGTAATTCCTGGTGCTGGGCCTATTCAAGGATTTTGAATTAAACTATGTTTCCTTCCAACGTCCTAAATTTAAGAAAAGCAGGGTAATATATCGTTATGTATAAATTATCTTAGAAATATGTATTTTTTGACCTTGATTTAAACAAGCTCCACTAGTAATATTGGAATAAGGAGAATGGGGTTTGACATGATTTCCAGTGAGGTATTTATAGAACTGTTTGAACAGATTTTACAATAATTAAAACAGAGTATAGGTTATGTTAAAGTAAATGAAGTCAATTTAATTCATCATCATTTTTACACTGTTGCAAATTAACATAACAATGACAACTGTAGTTGTCACTGACTTGAGCAGCAGTAGTTAATCATTGCAATTAATCATTATTAATACATAATTCACAATAATCAATCATGCTTGACTCTAGGATCATAGTGGGCTTATATTAAATACTATATAAATATATAACAGCATTAATAACTGTCCAAAACCTAGGAAAATCAGGCCCCCATTTCCCATTTTGATGTAGTGTTGTGAGCTATAGCTGCCATGTGTCTGCGTTTGTTAGGACTTGTTTAATTTGAATTCATCTTGACAGGTAAGAATTAAGATTGCTGCATGTATATGCAAATTGCATAAATGCCCCATATTTCTCTAAGATAGTTGTTCTATGCCTTACAGTTCTGTTAAGTCAATCTGGCAAAACTCTTTTGCTCTGAACTGAACTGGTGTTTTTGCCTGGCAATTCTCCTCTAACTCTCTACCCGTGGAGTGCTGAACATCATGAAAAGTAGCCTTTGGTTTTGAGATTAGGTCTCAGTTCCTCCTCAGCTTCTGTGCTCAAAACTTGTTGAGGAAAGGCTGCTTCTGGGGTGGACACTGTGCTGTGGTTTATACCTGTTGCAATACTGATGGCCAGGAGCACAAGAACCTTTGAAAAGTAGTTTTGCAGGCTGCCTAGATGGCTTTACAGGCTGCAAGTCACCTATATTCTAGAAGTCCATCCTCCAGACCATGTTTTGGTTTGGTTCTTTTTAAAAAATTCTGTTTATAGGGTCATCTACCTCTCTGTGAAGCAAAAGAGCAATGACATAAATTAAATACTTTTTCAGAAAGCTTCAGAGTACTACTTTTCAAGTTCAATCTGCCTAGACATTGTAATGAGTCTTCTTTGCATGAAAATTAACTGGAGTGATGGGGTTTGTCTTCCCAAGTCACCATCATACATGATGAAACCCTACTTTTCTGGGGGTGGCTGAACACCTGCCTGCCCATAAGAAGTGATGAGTGAATTCCTTGTTCTATTTGGCTTGTGTGTGTGGCTTTTGCTGTACTTGTCAAGTTGTCTTTATCCCAATCCATGAGTTTTCTCACTTTTTCTTTTCCGATTCTCTCCCCCATCTCACTGTGGAAGGAGTGAGTGAGCTTAGTTGCCAGCTGGGGTTATCGTAGAATCATAGAATATCCTGAGTTGGAAGGGACCCACAAGCATCATCAAAGTCCAGCTCCTAGCCCTGCACAGGATCATCCCCCAAAAGTCACACCATGTGCCTAAGAATGTTGTCCAAACACTTCTTGAGCTCTGGCAGGCTTGGTGCTGTGACAACTTCCTTAGGGAGCCTTTTCCAGTGCCTGACTGCCCTCAAGGTGAAAAGCCTTTTCCTAATATTCAACCTAAACCTTCCCTGATGCAGTTTAATGCCACTCCATCAGGTTAAACCATGACACCATGATTCAGACACATATTGCACCACAAAATAAATTAATTTATTGTAAATGGAAGGCTATCATAGAGCTATAATATTTTTCCCTTGAAGAGTTAAAACAAAATACATATTTCAATTGGAAAGAAATATTTAAATTTGCTTTAAAGAAAACAGGAGAGAACACTGTATATATATGTAATGAACTGCAGTAATACTTAGTTCAAAATGACTGTTGTTACAGCATACAACAGTGCTCAGAGAAAGCCAAAAATTCAATACAAACAAAACAAAAACATTAAAGTTTGATAGCTATATGATTTCTGGACAGAGGGTAAAAACCCACTGGAAAAGCTGCTAAGTGCCCTGGTACTGCAAAGCATGCTTAAAAGCAAGTGCTTTTTTCTTAACCAAACAAAATATTTCAAAAGCAGCAAACCCCTTTTAAATTCCTCTGTGAAATGAAAGTCTCTTCAAGGGTAGTTTGGCAGAATTAAACTGTTAATTCGTCAGATTTCAGCAACGTCTGATCTCTGAATAGCATGCATACTGTTTGCTGCCTGAAGGACAAGCAGAGCCATGTGACTCTTGCAAGTGGGTAGATGTCATCAGAGCAAGCTTAGAACAGCAGGTAAAAGAGTGCTCTATTTGCTTCAAAACAGGCCAGGCCACAGGGCGCCATCCACTGTCATGTAATGAATTCAAAGTTAGTCCTCTTACCACAGGTATAATTTCAATATTGTTTGCATCTTTTTTTTCATCTTGCCAATAATTTTTTTACTGAGTTTAAGGATCCCTCATGAAACTGTTATTTTTATTATGCTGCAGTACCTGTCCTCTGGGAAATCACTCCATGCCCAGCCAAGGACACAGGTTCGCTTTTCAGCTTCAGTCCAGTCCTTGGACATATGTCTCTCCTGTCTTGTTGATGACACTCTTACTTCTGTAACTGCTGCACTCAGGGAAGATGCTACCAGAGCAAATTACTTCTCTGTGTACTGTAACCATGAGCAAACTCTGAAATATGAGACTACCAGTAGCATGGAAGACATGGGAACAAGACTCTGATGTTCACCTTGTTTCTGAGCCCTGGCAGGGACTCAAAAATAGGACTTTTATTTTATTAAAATACGACTGTACTGCCTTCTCACCCTGCATGTTCTCACTGTTTAACTGTGATAAAATGATTTATTACCTAAATTAAATCAGGAATGGATTCCATCTTTGTCCTTGTATTTTTTGCTCAGAACAACACGTAAAGTTGGATGGAGGTGAGCAGAAAATTCTTGCAAAATAATGTTGCTGTTAAAAAAATATTTTAAGCATCTCTCTTACTAAAAACTAACCATTCCCAAGGTTTTCAGCAAAAAAAAGCAGGCTTAAAATGACCTGAGATAAAAGAAGGTCATATTATGAAGAAGATACTAATAAAAAAATCTTATTAGAAATCTGGAAATTGCATCCAACATGGGGTTTTGTTTTAAGGATTAAAAAACGCCCTTGACTTCAACATTTAAATTTTCAGGTCTTGATTCTGAGGGAAGAATCATACGCTGAGTGCCTTGACTTCCTGAAGAAAGTGTGAGAGGAGTGGGGCAACTCAGAGTTGAATCCTAACCAGCTAAACTGTAAACAGGGAGATCTGCTATGGAGGGGGTGAGGAAAAACCCCATCAGTGGTGGATAAGTACTCTGTTGGTTTGGAGATCCACCTGGGATTGCAGAGGCACCTTTGTCCAGGTAGGGTCCACAGCCTGAAGGATACCACCAAAATCTTTTTTTTGTTTCTTCTTTTGGTAATGAAGGACTGAGCAGGGTTCACTGCTCTGATTGAGGAGAGCAGCAGCAGCAGATGCACACAGGGGTGAGCCTCGATGCTTAGGGGATTCAAGGTTAAGGACAGCATAGGGACCTTCAGGTTGAAGTGGTAGCTGGTTTTGAATTGCAGTTTTGGACTGAGAGACAAGTGCCCTTTGTAACCTGTCCTTGCAATGCTAGATCTTTAGTTGTGTCCAGCTCTCTATCACTCAGTTCTCACAGATTCAAGACTGAGAGAGCGGACCCTCTTTTTAGGCACATTTTTTTCTGTCTTATTTATTTATATCAGTCACTCTTCTGTTGATGAACTATTACTACCCAGATATGAAGTGCAGACTGAAGGACTCATCAAGATGGAGGCTCTCAAGAATACTGGATTGTAAATAATAATAATGTGTTTACCTTGTCTGATGTGGTTGGTTAGAAAACTAGTTGGTTTCTGAAATACAGTGAACCTGTAAATTTTTCAGTAAGGTCTTGTGAAGAAGAGTTAAGTAGAGCTTTAAAAAGACAACCAAATTACTTTCTTCTAAAGAATTTCTTTTTGTGTGACATCCTGAATATAAATAATCAATTTATTTCCCTTCTGTTGTGTTTTCCATTGCAGCCCTGTGAGTCTCATAAGTAGAACAACTATGATTCTTTTAGTGGCAGACTAAAAATACAAAGTTTAATTTTTTTTTTAAATTAACATAATAAAACTCTGTAACATATGATGGGAGAGTGTCCTAAAAATAGAGATAATAAAAATAGTAAACAAATATACAAATTAAAATTCTAGTTATATACGAAAGTAGTTAACTTAGGAATATACAAACCAATTACTGTGTATGTGAATGAGTGACATTGTCACATTGACATGTTGTTGCAGGCATGAGAAATGTGTTGTGCTATATTCTTCTATTCCTCACACCATTTAATGCACAGAAATTATTGTAAATCCAAACAATGGCAAATTAATTTGCATATTACTTGCATAACAAGCTGAAGACATCTGTGTCAGTAAAATGGATATATCTAAACACACAACAGAATATAAATAATTGTTTTTCAGTCTTTGTTAAAGTTTGGGCAAAAATCCTAACTACTCAAAACTGAGAGGTCTTGACAGCCAAAGTTGTGAATGAGGACTTAAAATCTGCACTCCTTTGAAAATCTGTGTATTTCCTGTGTGTCCCTTTGCTTGAGTTACCAAAAGATAATTTTTCCCAGATGCCAGTTTGCTGTAGGTTTTTTCATACCTTAGACCTCCTGGGTACCAGGGTACTCTCAGCATTCATTGCTCTTACATGAAGATTGAATAATATGAAAATGTACTCCAAGGGTTGGTCTTCAAAAATACAAGTGCTTCTTACTTAGAACCACTTATCAGTCAATACTGATAAATATTTGCTTGATAACGTTCAGGTGCTTGAAGGGAAAACAGTGTGAGCAATATGTGAGTAGCATCAAGAGGAAAACATTGTGTTTCAGTATTCATGTTGTATTCAAATTACCTTGGTCCTGAGGACCTCTCTCCCTTCTCTTACCCGCAACTATAATTCAGTTACAACTCTCATGATATCCACTCTCACACACATCAGTATTGGTTTTTTGGTTGTTTGATTTTTTTTTTTTAGAGAGATATAGTGGTAGCCAGCAACGTTCCTTTTGCATCCTATTTTTCATTTTAGTCCTATTTCCAGACCTGACAGTTTTTGAGCAAGAGGGATCTACAATGTCTATATGAAATCTGCAGTACAGCTTGATCTAGATTTTATTATTATCGTTATTAATTATGCAAACATCCTTCGTTACTGTTGAGTCGCTGCTTTGACAATGTGAGCTGAAAAACATCCATGGATGTAAAGCAAGAATGCTAAATTTTTCACGTTATTGCAATAAAGGGGAAGGCTGAAGGAAGCATAGATAGCATCTTTATTATTGAACCGAGGTGTAAAAGTCATGGTTTTCTTTGTTGTTATGTTCCTGTCAGGAACCAGCTGCTGGGGTATCCCAGTGTCAGTGTGAATTTGTGTCTGCAGCCACCTGAGAAATGCCACAGCTGTGGCCTGGTGAGGCTCAATGAGGGCACCCAGAAAACAGGCAGCAGAACTCCTCAAGAGCTTCCCTCTATACTCCTGCAACCCTATTTGGCTGATACTTGGAGATTGCTGCTTAGACTTTGGATTCAGAGGTATGAACACACTCATTTGTTCCGTATCTATGCCCAGAGAGACATCACTGTTGCTGTGCCTGGAGCTCTTTCCGCTCCCAAGCCCAGTTTAAATTGCCATTTTATGAGGTTATTTGAAGAGCAGGACACTATCACAGCTCAAGACCTTACAAGTAATTATACCTTGGACACAGTTAGAGATAATCTCAGTTATCAGTCACCTGGATTGATGAGAGTTAGTGAAGAATGATGAATTCTAAATACTTCTTTATTTCAAGGGAGCTGGCTGTTATTTGTTTATAGACGAATAGCAATAATGAAGTTTTTTTATCATCTGCCATTGCTGCAGCATATGTTTCCAAGAACAACTTGCTATACATATTGTGAGTACAATTTGTTATGACTTGTTATGACAAAATGTATTTCCTCCATTCAAAAGAAATTTGAGGGTACTTTTTAATTTAATTGAATTCTTCTTGCTATAAAAAGTCAAACAACATATAATTTACCTTCGCAAACCACACTCCATTTAAATTCCCTTATGGACTACCAGCATATGAGTCATTTTTCCATTTAAGTCTTGTGTTACATTTTTGTTACAGTGAGGAACAGGTTTAAAAACTGAAAGATCAGGTTCACATACTATCCATTAATTGATTCAATGAAGTTTTCAGCAAAATGTCATGGGTTTAAGGTTCGTTTATTTTACACGCCTAAATTTATGCACATTTATAGTTATATTTTGTCACATAATTTATCATTGTCCATTACCACATTTTGCTTTTAGCCTAATTTACCATCTCTACTTTTAACACTGGGTGTTACTTTGTGTGAAAGTGGGCTCACCCGGGCCTTACCAAACACTTTTTTCCCTCTGGTTCTCACGCTCCCTGGAGAGTAGGGTTAGACGATTTGGTTCAGAAAATCTTTTACAGATAAAAGAGGTTAAAAACATTATGCTCAATTTCTGCTCAAGTAGGCTTCTAATTTTTAAAGAATTTTGGACCTGGCAGAGCTTGACAGGGTCTGAGGCTGCAGTCATCACCTACACAAGCAAAGGTGCGCAAGGCAGCAGAACAAATTTTGAGTGAAGGTTTGTCAGCTCCTATTTCATCTGAATGTGTCATGCAGTCTCATTAAAAGTATAAATATGGGCCAGAATCTGCACCTTTTTTCACACTACTATGACTGTTCTAAGTTATACTCTTTATTCTGATAATTCTCTCTACTTCCAAAATATATGAAGTGCTACCCAGCACAGGAAAGAGTGACAGAGTTTAGTTGCTTCATGCAAAAGACTAGATTTCTTAAATATGTTTATTACCAAAGGATTCAGACCACTAAAACCTAAGGACTTGGGACTGTTTCTGAGTCCAGATACATTCAAAAAATCTGCCCTAAGGCAGACTCATCACTAGTCTTGCTGAACTGCATGACCACTCATCTAAGTGTGTTACCCCCAACATTTTTTTCTATGATAATCTGAGGATGTGGACACAGATCTTCAGCTCCCTTTCCTTTTCTAGAACTTTTCAGTGATAGTGAAATGAACTAAATAAATTACAAGGAAAATGATACTGCAAATTCTGTATTCTTCATCCTAAACATATTTATCCTTGTATTTTCTCCTACATGACAATATCTCCCAGAGTAAAACTATATATAAACAAATAAAAAAAAATAATATTTTTCTTCATGCTGTAGTGAATTTGGTAATGGGAAATTTTTGCTATCCTTATCCTTATTCCAAACTTTCGTTTTTCTAATATCTTGTGTATGTTGCTATACTACAGAAAACATTAAGTAAATTTAAATCATAAGAAACTAATATGATCCATTATGAGTCAAATAGTAGGTTTAGATGTTCTTTTTGTGCTCTTCATTGTTCTTTCCAAATTATGTTATGAAAAGACAAAGAAGAATACTTGCAACAGAGAGTTCAGTAAAATAGACTAAAAGCACATTTTTTTCCTTTTAGATAATTTATATACATATTCCTTGGCAAAAAATATACATATATTTTAATATATATATGTATCACATTTTAATATATTACAGCTCAATATTTTTTATATTTGGAGTTTTTTTGGAACCTAATCCCATATACCTGCCATAGACAGACTTAAATGTTAATTGAAAATAATATGAAGAATAGGCCTTATTTTTAGATCCAAAGCAACAAAATCCTGATAGACATCATTTCACATTGCATGCAATTGTAAGACTCTCCAGGCTCACAGGTGCTAAATAACGACTTGACAAGGCTTCACTTCATGCTATAGATACTGAATCATTATGAAAATCAAGTTCTTAAATTTATTCTTCAGTTTTCTTTCTTTTTTTTTTTTTTTTTTAGTAACATAATTTTGTGGCTTTGTTTCTAAATGCTCATTCTGGTGTTAGATAGAGCTCATTTTGCATTTCATTGTTTGGAAAGTCTTATGCTTTATTTTTTTCCATAAAGATTGATCTAAGAGGAGAAAATGCTACTCTCTCCAGTACCCTATATATGTTAACAGATTATATAGTTGAACTCTATGACCTATTTATCTTCCTGAAAGAAACAGAAATGACTTTGTCACAAGCTGCAGAATATATGCAGGACTGCAGAATGCTCAGTCCCTACTGCATTCTGAACAGTGATATATTTTAGCATCTAATATTTATGTTCATTTCAACTTGTATTCTCATTTTTCATCTGCAGTGCCCTTGGTGATGATAGAAATTAGTTTTATTACAGCTTCCTTTAAAGGACATACATGCTTGGAGGAAAAACAGGGAGGGAAAAAGTCATCTGGAGGCATTGGTTCCAAATTGATATGTCAGGAAAGTATATCCATGAATTTCCTGTTGAAGTATGGTGATCCATAATCCTCTCTTGTATTACACACTTATAAATTACCTTCTTTTATGGTGTGTCATTTAACTATACAGGTCTTTGTATCAAAACTACGGTTTCAAGCCTAGGCTGGAACCGTCTGCGCTGTGGAGGTCACCCTGGAAAAACAAAATGGATAGCAGGCTTGATAAGCAAAAACTTCCATCAGACATGGGCATGGTTGTGGCTGCTACAAGTCCATGGAAAGTCCTCGTGGCAATATTTGTTCCTGTTATGTGGGACTAGGCTGACAGTGCTATCAGTCACTCACTGCCTTGCACAGGTTTCGTGTTTGTGCTGTGTCTCACTTTTTTCCCTGAGATGGCCTCTCTCTAGGCTGCTGCAGCCTAAATCTTAGCAGTCAGGTGCTATTTTTCCTGTGTCTAGCTTGTCAGCCTGGATCTTTATAAAACCTCCAGCAGACCCTTTTCTCCTCCGCACTTCCAGAAGAGAGACATTTTAAGTAAGTCAAGGTTCAGTATGTGACAGGAAACAGATGAAATAATAAAGCATCCTTCTAACGCCATATGAAGTTGTGATAAAGCTGTAGTGAAGGAAAGGGTAATTACAGGGAAAAAAATGTTCTGCATTGCCTAATCTTCTACATTCAACTTGCTAAAAAAATCACAAACTTTCTTCTATAGCTGCAACATTTTTTGTATCACTGGCCCTAATTATCTGACATTTACTTGGTCAAATTGCCAAAATCTATTAAGTATATATGAAAACATTTTGCAATATACTGATAACAGGCTTGCCCTTGAGACCTCTGTTTGCAGAGAGAATGATTTGGCACTTGCTAAACATTTCACAAATGTTTCAAACTTCTGAAAGCTGTTTTTCTTATGAGAAGGAGCTTGAAAGTTTCAGTAGTGTCTCTATATCTCATTACAGGGCAGGAAAACATGCAGGCAGGCACAAAGTGTATAATCTGAAGCTATCTAAGGAGAAGGTGAACGGGGGAGTGAGCTGAGTGACTAACAGAAATTCCAGGACTTCCAAATAAATTGACAGAAATGCAGGCTTGTGGTGTGAAGACAAATGTGACATTCAGTGTATTCTGGAGTTCAAAACTTCAGCTTCCTACTGTGATGTTCAAAGACCTTCCTAATTTCCTCTTTTTCCCTGTGTGCGTATGGGGAAACGCACTGTAAATAGGAATACCTATTTACAGTAGTCATGCAACTCTCAAGTCATTTACAGAAGCCTGTCTGCACAGAATTTAGGTCTCAACAATAATCTTTAACAAGCAGAGTCCTTAAATAATAACAAGAATTGCATGTCATAATCCCCCAGAAAGAGAGGATACTAAATGAAAAAAGTCACTAAATGAAATTTTTGCACTAGTTTTCTTGATGCCTTCTCCACCCCAAGCCCACTTCCCATTGCAAAGGTATTTCTAATCCGAATTATTTCAGACCATGCCCCCTAAAGTTGCATTAATTCAGTGAGGAGGAGGCAGTCTAGGTGAAATACAGATGCAGGACCAAGCTGCAAAGGTGATGAAACCAACAATATTTTAAGGCAGATTTGCTGCTAAAGGACACTTTACACTGGAAGCCGTGCGCTAAATCTCCAGAGCCTTTTTTCAATCTGTGTTGCAAGTTATTTTCTCTCCTTTTCACTCAGCTGTGCTGGATACGTAAAGGTCATTTTGAAAGACAAAATTATTGGTATGTGTAATGTAACTGCTTTATTTGGAGAAAACTGGGACAAAATTCTTGCATTTCAGTATATCAAAAATAAGTTGTTTGCCTCTTCCAGTGCTGACTATATATATATATATATATATATATATATATATAGTAGAAAAGTTCAGAGCTAACCCTGTCTGGTGTCCAGGACTGTATGGTTTATTGTTGAGTCTTTCAGCTCTGTCTAGGCTTTCTAAATCACAATACGCAGAGAGAACTGATGCGAGGTCTGTCAGTGGTGTTTCTCGCAAACTGACTGCTTGCGAAAACACCACAATAGAAATTCAGAGATCAAGAAGTAGG